GAAGTGGCGCTGTGGCTCAAGTGGTAGAGCGCTAGCCTTGAGCTGAAGAGCTGAGGGACAGCGCCCAGGCCCAGAGTTCAGGCCTCACAACTGGACCCAAAAAATAAAAAATAAAATAAAAGAGGAAATTGCCGGGTACTGGTGACTCATGCCTGTAATCCTAGCTACTCAGGAGGCTGACATCTGAGGATCTTGGTTCAAAGCCAGCCTGGGCAGGAAAGTCAGTGAGACTTATCTCCAACAAACCACTGGAAAACCGGAAGTAGCACTGTAGCTTACCTTGAGCTGAAGAGCTGAGGGACAGCTTCCAGGCCCAGAGTTCAAGCCCCACAACCAACAAAAATAAATGAATGAATAAATAAATAAATAAATGAAGTCTATGACACTGCCCAGTTTTGGAGGCATCAGATGTGCTTTATTGCCGGGTAGAAGAAAAGGACATTTTCCCAGGGTATAGAGAAAAGTGCCCAGCACTCCTGCCTTCCTCCTGCCTTTGCTAGGCAGATGTGGGGACTTACTGCCTTAGTGTGGTGCAGAGATGGATGCTAATCACAAAGCTGTGCTCCATCTCAGGGGATGACAACGGAAAGAAGGCCAACAACCCCAACCACTGCAACTGCATCATTGATCAGATCTTCACCGGTGGGCTGCAGTCTGATGTCACCTGCCAAGTCTGCCAGTAAGTGTGACCATCCATCCAGCTGACAGCTACCTGTACTGTCAGAATCTGTCTGGGTCATTCCAACATGATATATTTTCTGGTTGGCATAAGTATGTGTTCTGACATGTTTAAGGTAAATCCTTGAACCTAAAACTTAGAGACTAACCTTGTATATTGATCAGCTGGGTAATGCGGTACTTACAGTAGAGAAGAGCTTGTACCTGCCATCAGAGGAAAAATAGTTTTGTTTAAATAACCATGCCTTGACATTTGTTGAGATGACAAGAGTTCTGTCCACCATCTTGGAGGCTTGCTGGGAATAGGACTTCTAAAAGGCGAAATGTTTGGAAGGCTGTGGTGCAAGGCCATTTTTGCTGACTTATAAGCAGGTCTCCAGAACCAAAGGTGTTTATACCTGAGGTGATACCGATTTCTACTTGAGCAAGAGATGTGCTTATGTATACAAAGCAAAAAACAACACGATGACTCCTGGCGGCAAACCTAACAAAACTAGAGTAATCTGGGGAAAGGTAACACATGCCCATGGAAACAGTAACCTGGTTTGTGCCAAATTCTGAAGCAACCTTCCTGCTAAGGCCATTGGACACAGAATCTATGTAATGTTGTACCCTTCCAGAATTTAATGAAAATTAAAGTGAATCTGTGCTATTGTAAAAAAAAAAAAAAAAGAAGAAGAAAAAGAAAAAGTCATAACAGAACAGATTGCCTGACTATTAAAGGCTTAGAAGTCTTCCTTTGAGAGAAAGCTTGTTTCTGTCCATACTCAGTGGGGTGTTTTTGAGAGCTCTTCCTCATGCAGATCTCTGCTTTTCTTACATTCCTCAACATCAGGAAGTTAAAAAGAAATTCAGCCTCCTTCAGGAAGGGCTGATCATAGAGGGCAAACTTTTGGCTTCCATTCATCAGAGGATATTTTAATTATTTTGTGATTTCCTTTTCCATTTGCCCTGATGTAATGTCCCTAGCCTTTTCCGGGTATAGTTTCTGCTTAGTGCTTAAAACCCAGAGCGAGGATTTAAGTCACCTGCTTCCTGAGGAATATTCCCGTTCAGTTTGCTTTTTTTTTTTAAAGACTCTAGATACCTACCAAAATCATTCAGATCCCATAATGCATTGGGACTGGCACTCCGTAGAAGATTCTAGAGCCATATCCCTGTGGGCTGACACAGATGAAGTTTTCTTTCAGTAGTAAAGTTCACTTGAGCTTTGGCTCTGAGAAATTTAGAATTACCTTTTTGGCCCTTAACTACTAAGTTCTATTGGCAGGCAGTCATTTTAGATTTATGTCCTGTTTAATTACAGTGAAGTTCCCATTTTGAATTATTTTTCTTATTTAATATTGTAAACTAACCTCCAGTTAGGAAGCAACCTTGTTAGAATAGAGCATTTCCTATTCCTTGGGGTCTGCCACGCCAGGACTGTGCACTCTGGTGGGGAGGGTGGGTTTCTGTTACCAGTACTAGACGGTACCCATTTCTAGGTAATGATGCTATAGTTCCCAGATGCAGTGAGATGGATGCAGGGATTCAGAACCTCTAGACCTGGGGCTCAGGAATTTATACTGTCCTCAAACTGCCTATCTGAATGGTGTCCTGGGTTGGAAACCATCCCTGTGGGAGCCCAGGACATGTAGATGTGAGTGTTCCTACTTTGTCCAGCCTGAGGTATCCTTGATAGAAGGAAGAGTGTGGCAGAATATTGGGATGCCCTCCACAGGGGCTGTCTCAAATGCAGTAGACATCAGTCTTCACACGTTTTCATTTCCTTTCCCTACAGTGGAGTCTCCACCACCATTGATCCCTTCTGGGACATCAGTTTAGACCTGCCAGGTTCTTCTACCCCGTTCTGGCCTCTAAGCCCGGGGAGTGAGAGCAGTGTGGTGAATGGGGAGAGCCACGCATCTGGTACTACGACGCTCACAGACTGCCTGCGGAGGTGAGGTGCCCCAGCCCTGGCAGGGAGCACCATGTTTAAATTTAGTTTGTCACTTTTTCTTTCTGGTTAGATATTTCTGTCTACCAGCTTTTCATGGTAGCATGTCTGTATCATAAAGCTCTAAATATCAGCCACCCACACTTTTACATAGACAAACAAGTGAGAACCATGGTGTCCCACCTCCTAGGATTAACACCTGTGGTGTTCTACATTTATAATCCTATTTTAAATTTATTTATTTTTTGTCAATTGTGGGGTTTGAACTCTGGGCCCGGGCACTGTCCCTCAGCTCTTCAGCTCAAGGTTAGCGCTCTACCACTTGAGATACAGCATCACATCCAGCCTTTTCTGCTTATGTGGTGCTGAAGAATTGAACCCAGGGCCTCATGCATGCAAGGCAAGGACTCTACCACTGAGCCACCTTCCCAACCCTTATAATTCTATTTTAAAACATATTATTATTATTATTATTAAGGTGTTGTACAGAGGGACTACCATCTCCTATGTCAGGTAATGAGTACAGTTCTTTTCTATTTTTTGGACCATGTCACCCTTTCCTTTTATTTATCTTTTTTTTTTTTTTGTTTTGCTAGGACACTCATGATCTTTTAAAAATGTGTCCTCATATCAGTATAAACGAGTGATGGGATGTGAGGTACTTTTACTGGCCTCAGAGTTGCTGCAAGAGAATTCTTGTTGAGGCAACACATTCTGTAGTAGAGCCAAAGGTTTTGGTTAGCAGAACAAGAACTACCTGTTTTGTCTTTTTTTTTTTTTTTGGTCGGTTATAGGGCTTGAACTCGGCCTGGGTGGCACACCTGAGCTCTAGCTCAAGCGAATGCTCTACCACTTGAGCCACAATGCCAGTTTTCTGGTGGCTTATTGGAGATAAGAGTTTCACAGACTTTCCTGCCTGGGCTGGCTTTGAATGGTGATCCTCAGATCTCAGCCTCCTGAGTAGCTAGGATTACAGGCATGAGCCACTGGCACCTGGCTTTTTGCTTTTTTTCTGTGAAACCTTGTTACTACTTCCAGACAGATCAGTTTCCAGATACACTTAAGAGTATACATTCTCCTCTTCTTCGTCTTCTAACTCACCATCTTCCTACACAGCTATTAATTGCTGTCTACTAATATTCTCAGGCCTGAACGACATTTCAACCTTAAGACCACAGGTGGTAGTTGGGCACTAGGAAGGAAATCTGTGAGACTCTTATGCCCAGTTAACCACTGGAAACTGGGAAACTGGGAGTGGTGCTGTGGCTCAAAGTGGTATAGTGCTATCTTTGAAGGTAAAAGCTCAGGCAAAGTGCCCAGACCCTGAGTTCAAGCCCCACAACTGACAAAAACAAAAACAAAAAAAGAAGAGAAAAAGCAAAAAGAAGGCTGGGCCTGTGGCTTAGTGGTAGAGTGCTAGTCTAGCATGCACAAAGCCTTGAGTTTGATTCATCTGTACCACATAAACAAAAATGCCAGAAGTAGCGCTGTGGCTCAAGTGGTAGAGTGCTAGCCTGGAGTAAAATTCAGAAAAGTTGGGTGCCCATGGCTCACGCCTGTAATCCTAGCTAATCAGAAGGTTGAGATCTGAGGATCACAGTTCAAAGCCAACCCAGGCAAGAAAGTCCATGAGACTCTTATCTCCAATTAACCACTAGAAACCCACTGTGGCTCATGTGGTACAGTGCTAGCCTTGAGCTGAAGAGCTCTGGGACAGAGTCCAGGTCCAGAGTTCAAGCACCATGACTGACAAAAACAAAACAAAACAAAGAAACTCGGGGACAGTGCCCAGGCACTGAGTTCAAGCCCCAGGACCAGAAAATAAATAAATAAATACCACAGGTAGTCTAATTCAGAACCCTCAAGCAACGCCATTGGCTGTGCAGACATTTTCAAAGTTTGCTGGGTGACTTTAATTGGACTGTTTCCATACCTCTCTTCAATAATGTGAAGTTCATTCTTTTGAACTAGTCCCTAAACTGACCATTTTTGATGTTAAATGCGCTCATCTCTATACCTTACAGTGATAATCTTTGGTGGCTGATAGTTCAAAACTGAAAAAAAAGTATTTCTGGGGCTTCAGGGAGTTCATGTTTTTTTTTTTGTTGTTGTTTTTTTGGTCTGGTCGTGGGGCCTGAACTCTGGGCCTGGGCGCTGTCCCTCAGCTCTTCAGCTCAAGGCTAGCACTCTACCACTTGAGCCACAGTGCCACTTCTGGCTTTTTTCTTTTTGCTTATGTGGTGCTGAGGAATGGAACCCAGGGCCTCATGCATGCAAGGCAAGCACTCTACCACTGAGCCACCTTCCCAGCCCCTGTAAAGTCATTTTCAACATAGTATCTAGTGAATACCACTGCAGCATTTGCTCACCCTTTGTCCCTCTATTTCTGTGCCTTGCCCCTGGCCCTCCCAAAGACAGATAAACAAATAAGGCAAAAAGAAAAGAAAACATAATGAAGAAAAACCCTCTTGTTTACATTTCCTGGACTTCATTTTGATAAATATTATTTTATATGACCAGAGTTAAGTTTTTCTTTAGCAGTCTTCTTTCAACTTTCCAACCTACGAACTCATTCAGGTGAGATTATAGCCAGATGGCATTTTTAGTTAATGAGAACAGATAAACATGGTTGTTTTGCAGTGGTGAATTCCATTTTCCTTGATTTGAAATACAGGAAAGACCACTTAAAAATTTAACCCTCAATTGTGGTTCAAAGCCAGCCCAGGCAGGAAAGTCCATGAAACTCTTATCTCCAATAAAATTACCAAAAAAGCCAGAAGTAGAGCTGTAGCTCAAATGGTAGAGCACTAGCCATGAGCAAAAGAAGCTCAGGGACAGTGCCCAGGCCCTGAGTTCAAGACTCAGGACATGGAGAAAAAAAAAAAAAAGGAAAGAAAGAAAGAAAACCTACCCAAACCAAAATATCCCAAAAACCTCAAAAAACCCGTGATGCTTACTAGTATATTTGTTTCCTTTGCCTTGTAATCCACAAGTTTAAAGGCCTAAGATACCACAAAATTTTGTCTGGGAGCAACCAGGAAAACTAAAGACCTTTCCCTGATCCTCCCCTAAAAGGTTATCAAGTCTCTACCTCAATAAGATCAAGGCATGTATGCCTGCCATCCCAGCTATGTGGGAGATAACGGTAGGGTATTTGCCTGAACTCAGCCCCAGTCACAAATAGGATGCCCTATCTAAAAAATAACTAGAGCATAAAGGGCTAGAGTGTGGCTGAAGTTGTTAACTACCTGACCAGCAAACCCCATTCAGAAAGAATATTTTTCTTACAGTTCTAGGGACCCAGATACATGAAATAGGTGTACTTTAGAAGGGTTCAAGCAGGTTCTTTGTCTTGGCCCTGTGGTCTCAGGGCCTCCCCTTGAGTCTGGGTCTTACCTCCCTCAGCTTCTCCCTCATAAAGACACTGATCAAAGCTAGGTGCCCATGGTTACTCAGGAGGCTGAGATCTGAGGTCCACTATTTGAAGCCAACCTGGGCAGGAAAGTTTATGAGATTCTTATCTCCAATTAATTACCAGAAAATTAAAGTGGTAAAGCACTAGGCTTGAGTGAAAAGAACAAAAGCAAAAATTCAGGGCCTGGGGGAAGGGGCACTGTCTCTGAGTCCACAAAGTAGACATTACCTATTCAGAAGCTGCAATGCAACCCCAGGGCATCATCTCACACAGATTGACTATGATTAGTTATTGGTGTCTTCCTTGTGGTAGCCTTACCTCTGTGGCTGTCTGGTCACTGTCCCAAATAGAACATGACAATCAGAATTTCAACTCTTGTTTTCAACCTGCCTCTGGGAAATGGGCAACCCAGTCATTCGTTCACATGTCCAGGGAGGTAACAGCTCTGTTGATAATGTCAGGGTCTCAGGTCTTAATGTCTTCTACTTACCATATGTGGGTAGACACATTAGACAATGCTGGGAATTGTCTAGTTGCAACAGGAACAGTGATGATCCTTGTGCTCATTGAGAAGCAACTATCTAGGTTGTCAAATGGATTTAACTTACACTCTGCCTTGGCAGTCAGAGTACAACTGAAACTCCTTTCACACAACCTGCTTGGAAGCTCTTGGAGCAGCAAATGGCCCTTGGGTCACACTCAGGAGTGGACACTTAATAGAAGGGCCAGGTGCTACTGTGCTGTCATGTGGTTTGCCTCACAGCCTGAACCTGTGTCCTCACAGCATGAGACAGCTTCTGCCTAGTTATTGGAGCTGGGAAGCATGTCAACTCCACTCTCTTGCAGTATCCACTGCGGGTCCTCAGTGAATACACATTATCATTAGAACCTTGAGTCTGTGGTGAATAGTGACATTCAGCTATACTGAGTTTTGCTGGGTTTTTGTTACAGCAAAGAGAGCAGAATGAACGGGCAGTACCAGCAGCCCACAGACAGTCTCAACAACGATAACAAGTACGTGGCGCTTGGGGGATTGCGGGGGTGGGCAGGCTTCCTGGACCTGTGAGAGAAGTCTGCCTGCTTGGGGTACAAGGGCAGGGGGTGTATGTGGTTACTGTGTTGGGAACGGATGCTTCTTCCTCTGAAAGCTGCCCTCTTGGGACCTGCCTCTCCGAACCTCTGTGATGAGCAAGGTTCTACCTGGAAGCACAACCTCTTGGCCACTCTGACAAGCATGTTCCTCCTGGTACTGTTGGGCCTGCTGTTGATTGCTCTTGCTATTGATATCACAGGAAGGTGGATGGTTACTGCCACCATGTCCACTAAGTAGAGGAATTAGCTGGACCAGGATGAGAGCTGAGTAATGCAGAACTGGCTCTTCTGTGATAACTCCTCTGGGGTCTTAGGTCAAGTTTGTGGGTCACTTTCTGCTGTACTATATGGTTTCCCACACAGCACCATCAGCAGCCATTCTCTCCTCACTCTCTGCACCAGGTATTCCTTGTTTGCTGTAGTTAACCATCAAGGGACCTTGGAGAGTGGCCACTACACCAGCTTCATCCGACAGCACAAAGACCAATGGTTCAAATGTGACGACGCCATCATCACCAAGGCCAGCATCAAGGATGTGCTGGACAGCGAAGGGTGCGTCCATTGTGTGAGGCTGGAGGGTCCCTGCAGTGGCAGCTCCACCCCCCTCACATCTGCCCAAAGTCAGACTAATCTTGTCACACCTCAGGGAGTTCACCTTTAGTTGATGAAGTGACGAGGGCTCTTCTGGGGTAGGATGTTGCCTTGAGGTCATGGAGAAAATGTTCTGAACCAGAGGCTCTGTAGTGCCCCCTTTAGCTCAGAAAGTATTTGATGCCTCATTGTCTTAACCTTCTTTGTACTGGGCACATTGGTTATTTACTGCTTTTGTTCATGGCACAGAAGCCTGTGCAACCAAGGGGCCCCTCTCACCATTCCTTCAGCAGGATTCCCAGCCCTAGAGACCAGGGAAACCAGTCATCTAGTCACTTAGAGGATGTCCGCATGGTGCTCCGAGCATCAGAAGCCCCTGGCAACATTTCAGAGGGGAGTTTGTGTGTAACAGGGTGGGCAGTGAGGAGAAGGTAGGCTCTCTATGGGACAGTAGCTGTCATGGACAGGGCAGGTGATGGTAGAGAGTGCCACAAGAGGTCTGTGAGGCTTTAGTTCTTCCCTGACAGATGGGTTAGGGGGTGGTTGTGCTGTGGAGATTGAGGTAAGATAGTCTTCCAGCCAGCGTGGTACTCTTCAGGGACTATGAGAAGTCAGATGAGCAATGGGCCTGTGCATGCATTCTCATCTGGCCTTGGCTTGCTTTTAACATTTTAGAAATTGAAACTTGTTTCCCCCTCTGCCTCCTCAGGTACCTGCTGTTCTACCACAAACAGTTCCTGGAATACGAGTAGCCACCTCTGCTGGTTAGAAAAAGGAGGAGGATGAGTTGACAAACCTCCCAAGATGACCCCCTCTTCCCCTGACCACATGACACCTCGACACCCCTCCTGTTCAGACATGCCACGTGCATGTCTGTACACTGGAGTTGTGGTGTCGGGGTGGACACACTGTGGAGCAGAACTGCTGTGTGCCCTGGGTGTAAAGGAGTTGAGGAGCTCTGTGGTAGTATCTCTTGTCTCCAAAGCGTGTGGGAGATGGAGATGTTATCCTAAGTGCAGAGCAGCCTCTGCCTGGTGCTTCATTCAGTAGTCCCATGCATGCGGTTTGAAAAGGCCCCTGCCAAATGGAAATTATGGGTCCATTAAAGCTGTAAAGCAAACACAGGTGGATGTGCAAAGTCAGGAGCTGTGAGCGCTTTCTTGTCTCTCAGTCCGGGGTGGTACTTAATGCATGGAGTGTGGACTCCAAGCGTCCATTTTTCTGTAGCCCTGGAGCCCAAAGATCTGAGGCCATGGAGGGGCTCAAAGCACGTGTGTTCAGCAGATAACATAGCATTACCTGCATGTGGAAGCATCGGCACAGATGTTCTCTCAGTTTTCTAGAAATAGGCATTTTCTTATCTCTCCTTTTCTCTTTTCCACAATGGTGAATTTCATACACGTAATAGTAGAAAAGTGGATGATTATCGAGTTTATACTGAAATCTAGATCATTCCTCCTTCGTTCTGAGAGTGCGTCTTGCTTTTTAATTGGTGCTGTTTTGTTGCTTCCTCCCCCTCTGCCCTGCCTCCCTCTGTCCTTGGTTTAACAGCTGGTAGCAAGAGGAGAACCAGGCAGGAGCTCAGGAAGGCCTCTGGTTATCTTAGTCTTCGGAGTAAATGGAGCATTCTCCAGTGGTTTCTTCCTTCCTTTGTCCTTCCTGTTCTTTGGATCTATTCCCTGTCCTGGGTTGCCTGGTTGCTGTGGTGGGATTTGAAACTGAGTGGACCCCAGTGGGGACTTACATTGCGTCACCTTGATCATGTGCCTCACTGTACCTTTGATTATTTTAGTTGCAGCCAGAACAAATAATTGAGGTCATTGGCAGAACTGGTCAAGGAAATTATTTGTAATATATCTTGCATGTTTCTATCTAGTCAAACCCAGACTTAGATTGTTTGTCCATTTCTCAGAAATTACTACCCGAAGATTTGGGGTTAGAAGCATTGTCTTAATCTGGTTTGTGAACTATGATATCTCCAGCTGTGCTGGTCCTGGCAACCCTGTCTGCAGTGGGCTGCAGTGTCTTTGTTCTGGGGAAACAAGAACCAGCTATTGAAGGTTTGGCAAACATTTCTCCTAAAAGCCAGATAGTGAACATTTTAGGTTTTATGGGCTGTGTGGTCTCTGCATAGATAACATGAACAGTGGCTGTGTTCCAATAGTTCTTCATAGCCAGGCACTGGTAGCTCATGCCTATAATCCTAGCTACTCAGGAGGCTGAGATCTAATGATCATGGTTCAAAGCCAGACCAGGCAGAAAAGTCTGTGATACTCTTATCTCTAGTTAACCACAAGAAAACCAGAAATGGTGCTGTGGCTTAAAGTGGTAGAGCACTAGCCTTGAGCAAAAGTGCTCAGGAACAGTGCCTAGGCCTTGAGTTCATGACTGACGCCCCCCCCCCAAAAAAAAAAGGAAATAGAGTTCTTCATGGACTTTGGAGTTTGAATTATGTATAATTTTCACATGTCGAGACATTTTGATTAAAAAACAACTATATGAAAATAAGATGAATTTTCTTAGCTGACAGTCTACATGAAAGCAGGCAGACCACACAAAAACTGACCTAGCTCAATAGGTAGTTATGTTGTGATAAAGAAGTAATGGCAGGAACTCAGTAGCTCAGTTGGTATAGAAAACACCAGAACGTAGGGAACAGTGGTCATGCTATGGGGCTGTCAGGGATGGCAAAAGCCTTCTATAGTACTGTTTTTAAACACTTCTGAATTTAAAGAACAAAGCTAAAACATGTTTTAAAGTGAGCATTACTGGAGAAATATGAGGGGGCCCAGATTTTCAGGTATGGCCTCATATGATCTCTGTGTGTGTTTGTGACTGGAGTGAAAATCTTTTGGAAGAGACTTGGGGTTCTTGGTGTGGTTCTTTTCTTGGAGGCCTCATGCTTGCCAGACAGGTACTCTCTTGTTTGAGCCACACCCTAGCTGAGATATTCTTTTATTTGGGAACAAAACTATCAGAAAGGAGACTCAACTGGGCAGACTGCAGGAATCTGGTCTGGGAGCCCTTCTGAAGGTCTGCCCCCTTGTACCCTAGGTGTCCAGATGCAGAGGGGATGCAGGTGGATGTGCCAACCAGCCTGCTCCCTGTTCCTGCCCTTCCTGTCTCCGCCTGTATTCAGGGGCATCAGCCATTCTGAGAACATTAAAAGTAGCGAGAGGAAGAAAGACATTTGTCTTTTGTATGTGTTATTTTAAGCTCACATACCCAAATTAATTCCCCTCCTTCACTGTGGCTTTAGTGCTCGAAGCACTTGGCTCCACATTTGCTGTGGCAAGGCCACAACTCCAAGGGTACCATGTGCCTGCTTTGCCTTGTTCTCTGTCAGGACCCTCAGCATTGCTTTCCATGTTGTCTTTCCGTTGTGAAGAACAACATAATAGCTTTGGGGATCTTTTTTAACTCCCCATCTGGCTGTTAAGTCAGGAAAATGGTTCTCTGGGAGTGACCCTGTATAGGACTTCAGATGTCACAAAGTGCATCTTGCTACAGAGGTTCTCATTGAGTATTGTGCTCCCCCCCCAAAAAAAAAAAAAGACCGGTACACATTAGTACCAGAATATTGAAAAGAATCTGTTTTGGGGGTGTGGGCTCTCATGTTAGAATGTCACAGTAGACATGTGGACTGGCAGTCTTCAGGTGGGTCCTGAGGGAGGTAAAGTACAGGAAGCTTGGGATGGCCTGAGGGACAGAGCAGCCTAGCTCCTCTGTCCTGGATCTCCTTGCTCTGGGCATTGGCCTGGGTCCTGCCAGGCACTGGGATGGGCCCTGGAACTCCTCTTGTCTGCACCATGTATACCCGAGTGCTCTTGTATCTTGGCTTGGTGTGTATGCTCTTCCTTGTGTAAAATTGCTATTCTTTTGACAATTCAAGTGATTGTTTGGTTTAATATAACTCTGCAAACAAAAGTTGTAAGAAAAAATTCCAATGATTGTGCTGTGGTTGGAGACTTTATTACTAAGATGTTTACATCTGCCTTTCCCTGTCATTTTGAGGGACTATTTGACTCTCTCCTTGATAGCTTGTAGCCTTTCCTATGTCATAATAAAGCTACATTTTATTCTGAAGCTGGCCAGTTCTCATTACTAAGAGCCAAAGGGAGAAGCTGTGGGCCATGCCAACCCTAGACTCCACTTGCTCCTCACCTGAGGGATCCACTGCTGTTTAACATCAAGGATTCAGGCCTTCAGGCTTCACTGTGCACAAGTTGCCTGGTGAACTTCAAGTGCAGGAATCTGTGCAGAGCAGGATTGGGCAAACTCCTAAGGGATGAGAGCAGCAGATGTAAATGCCTAGATTGTGTGGGATAAACCAAGGTCATAACTGATTTACAGGTAGCCAGTCCTGCATGTCGCACCTCAGTGCTCAGATGTATACTACATGCTGGCTGTGGACCGTCAGCACAGTGTAACAGTTTCCCATCCAGGCATGATAGTCTCTGCTAAGACAACTCCATTGCTTCACCATAGGTTTTCTATAAGCCTAGCCACTGCTCAGTGATGAAGCAAGAGCATCTCCCCAGGGTCTGGATCCCACCTGCTGCTCATTTTCAGCTCTGTATGGGGGATTCTGTGTTGATGGGATGCTGAGGCAGTGCTGGTACTGGCCAGCGGGGCAAGCCTGTCCATGCCTAGAGGGCATGGCTTTCTTCCAATATAAGCAACCCATCCCCCCTTATGGGATAGGACCCTGCACAGTCATTCTGCTGGCAGATGGCAGGCTTGTGCTCCTGGGAAGTGATATCCACCTAGGGATTTAGTGGGCATTTGTTAGCAACAGTCTGAAGGGCCTTGGTAAAAGCAAGGGTTTGAGGTTCAGCGTGTTCAGTCTTCATTCCTAGCTAATGGCCGCTTTGTTCACAGGCCCGCTGATCAAGTCCAGGGGCTGAAGAAAGAAGCTGGCCACACCCGTGGGGGATAGTGTCATGCCTACCTGAATGTGAGTGGGGATTCTGTTCTGGGGGACTAAAGGGAATCAGTACAGACATCTGTCTCTGTCCATGTTGATACATCTGTTCCCACCCAGGTCTTATCAGGTGGCAGCCCCCCATGTGTGGATGTGGGTCAGTGTCCCAGCTGAGGACGAGCCTCCGTCACTGACCTTCACCAAGTGGGTTGGGGTTCCATTTACTGTGCCTCTTTCCCTCTGTGTCCTGACTGAAAGACATACTTAACTCCTCTGGCCAACTTCTAGAGAACTGTTCAGATGAGGTTGCAGGGTTGTCTTGGCCGAATGGACAGGGTTTTCTCCCCCAAGTCCAGGCTTGGGGCCTTGAAAGTCCCTTGGCAACATAGCCACAAAGACACTAAAGGAAACACCCTGGTCCTAAGCCAGATACCTTAACTTGTATAACTGACTGTGGACATACCTAGCTAGAACTTTCTTTGCTGCTTATTGGAGGATATGCAATAACCTACCCATTCATAAGCCCCACAGCTGAGGCTGGGAGGCTACCCTTGTGCTTAGTGCTGCTGTCTTTGGAATCCCAGCCTGCTCAGGCTGGGGTCAGTTTGGAGGACTCCCTAGGGGGAATGTCCCTGCTTCCTTGGGTTCAGCCAGTTAGCAGTGTGTGATGAGCGGTGTGCTGGTGTCCACACCAACCGACCTGTCAGGACTCTGCCCTTAGGATGGTTAATCCATCCATGGACTACTGGGTTAATGTATTACTTACACTAACAAGCCTCTAGAAGATGCAAATGCCAGTGCCAGTGGCTAGGAGAGTGTCTTAGTCAATGTAGCTGAATACCACAGTGGAAATTCCTAACTGTTCTGGAGGCAGCAAAGACTCAGCACATGGCACTGGCACTTGGTGAGGAGTCTTTCAGGTCACCTCATGGTGGTAGAAGCTGTCTACCTCTATGGCTAAGGCAGAGCAGGCGTACATGACAGTCTGGGGGTGTTTTTTTTGTTGTTGTTGTTTTTCTTATTTGTTTTGTGCCAGTCCTGGGGCTTGAACTCGGTGCCTGGACTCTGCCCTTGAAATTTTGTACTGAAGACTAGTGCTCTACTACTTCATCCACAGCTTCACTTACAGCTTTTTTAGTAGTTAACTAGATAGTTTCACAGGCTTTCCTGCCTGGGCTAGTTTCAAACCTCAATCCTCAGACCTCAACCTTCGGAGTAGCCAGGATTACAGGCGTAACCCACTAGTGCCCAACTGACAGTAGGTTTTTATGAAGCCACTTGTGCTAACACATTAACTCACGAGTCCAAGGATGGGTTGAGTCCTGCTGACCCTGTCCCTAATAGGCCATACCCCTCTATACCAAATTTCCAGCACATGAACTTTGGGCTACATATTCTAATTGCCGAAGAGAGGATCAGAGGTAGAATATTCTAAAATGAGTTCTGAAAAACTAGGAATCTTGAGTCCTGAATTCATTTACTCAACAACTCTTTGAAGGTAGGCATTTTTCTAGATCCTAGGGAATGAGCAAAGCAAGGATTTTAAGCTCATAGATACCAGTGCTATGTAGAAAACAGCTCGGGGGAGGGCCACCCAACACCACAACTGGGAATGAAGTCCTCAGTACCCAAGTGTGTGGTGCTGTTCAGTAGACACTCCACATAAGATGAACCCTGCTCGAAGATGGAGAACCAGCACCAGAGGGGTGGGTGATCTAGCAGAGCGCCAGCAGCCTGCAGGAAGGACATTGTGTTACCTCTGTCTCTGATCTGTCTCAGCTCACCAGGACCCCATGGGTGACTCTGGCCTGATCTTCAGCCAGAATCTGCCCTGCTGCCCATCCCATGCTCCTGTGGTTTCTCCTGCTCTGTCATCCATATCAGTCACCAAATGTTCAAATGGAAATTTCCAGCCTCTGATACATTAAAATGTTAGCCGCCTCTGCAGTGTGGTCCAGTGTTAGAGCCCCAAATACAAAGCCAGACTGCCTGAGTTCCAATCTTGGTTATAGGTACCTTTGGGCAAGCAACTTGACTCTTCTAGCCTTGATGAAATGCAGTCAGCATGATAGTGTGGAACTACTGGTAGCTGCAGACAAGGCACTTGAGTCCATTTTCTGTTGCTAGTAGCACAATACCCCACACCAGGTGAGTTTTAAAGAAAGCTGGTTTACCTGGGCACCCGTGGCTCATGCCTATAAGCCTAGCTACTCAGGAGGCTAAGATCTGAGAATCAAGGTTCAAAGCCAGCCCTGGCAGGAAAGTCTGTAAGACTTATCTCCAGTTAACCACCAGAAAACCAGAAGTGTCACTGTGGCTCAAGTGGTAGAGCACTCACCTTGAGCTGAAGAGCTCAGGGACAGCGCCCAGACCCAGAGTTCAAGCCCCAAGAAGAAAATGAAAAGCTGGTTTGTTAATCTCACAGCTCTAGAGGTTCCAGGGCTCAAATCTGGTGATAGTCTCCTTGCTGGCAGAGTTCTGAGGCAGCACAGGGCATGTTTTCTGGTCCCTCTTGCTTTTCCACAGCCACCAGGATTCATTCCTGGGGCTCCACCCTGAGAACCTTATCCCTCCCTGATCACTTCCCAGAGGCCCCTCCTGTAAACAGGTGTAAGCACCACAGCCCTTCCAGTTCTCATCCTTGCAACACTTATCAGTAGGGGCCAGATTTCAACACATGAAGCCTTGGGGGACAACCACATCCCAAACATAGCCCACATCACATCCACAGCAGGCTTCTCCACAGAACACACACAGATGCACACATGCATACACATATACACATACAAATATCAGGCAGAATGGAAAACCAAAGAGACCCTCAGGAGCACGGGCTGAAAGGGGAGTGGCAGTCAAGCAGAAAATGCACAAAGCTCATCAGACTCTCCCTAAAACAAGGCAGAAGCTTCTAGGTAAAAAGACAGCCAACTCTATTGGCTTCAGGATAAAGGTTCTGAATCTAGAACCAATGCAACATAACACTGGCAGATGCCTTTCAGAAATTCATTTGCTGGCAAGGGACCTTTATCTTGTTTTTTTTTTTTGGTCAGTTGTGGGGCTTGAATTTGGGGCCTGGGAACTATCCCTGAGCCTCTTTGTGCTCAAGGCTAGCACTCTACCACTTGAGCCACAGTGCTACTTCCAGTTTTTGAGTGGTTAATTGGAGATAAGAGTCTCACAGACTTCCTGCCCAGCTGGCTTCCAACCGTACATCTCAGCCTCCTGAGTAGTTAGGATTACAGACAAGAGCCACCGGCCCTGGACTTAGGACTTTATCTTTAGAAGAGGATAAATTTTGGGGCTGGGAATGTGGCTTAGTGGTAGAGTACTTGCCTAGCACACATGAAGCCCTGGGTTTGATTCCTCAGTACCACATAAAACAAAAAGGCAGAAGTGGTGCTGTGGCTCAAGTGGTAGAGTGCTAAGTCTTGAGCAAAAGAAGCTCAGGGACAGCACCCAGTCCCTGAGTTCAAGCCCCAGGACTGAGACACACACACACACACACACATCTATGTATCCTAAGGTTTAAATGCTACTAAAAACAGATCCAGATGCAACTACTCTCTCTGAGGCTAGAGTCGGAGAAGAGCTACAGAGATACCTGCTACCTTGGCTCTAGCCTCCCACTCCGGGAGAGGACACACGTGTGACACGCCCTCCCCAAGGACCCACAGAGGGACATTTATGTTTGTTACTGAGAAGAGACAGCTCCAGCCTCTACTTCCCCCGTTCTGGGCCACCCCCTCTCCCCCGCCCCACCCTTCAGCCTTTCCATCTCCTCCTCGCTCCTTTTTAAATGGAGAAGCAAAGCTCCAGCGAGCACCCCACAAAAGCAGGTCCAAAGCTCTCCGGGGAGATGATTTCCACTGCAGCGGCCGGGCGGGAGAAGGGACTCTGGGCGCTGGGACCGGCGGGCACGGGTGCCTTTATTGCATGTGTTTAGGCCATGGCGACCTCCAGCTCACCCTGGGCCTGCTCTGTCCCCCACCCCCCGCCTCCTTGTCCACGACCCCAGTTCCCTGACACTCTCCATTCCTCTTCCTCCTCCTCCGGCCTCTCCATCTTCCTCCGCGTCCAGTGCGGCGGCTCTCTTCCAGGCTCCAGGGCTGGTCCAGTTCACGCCTCTCTGCTCTGGGTCCGCCCATGCTGTCACCAGCACACGCCCGGGCGCGCGGCCTGGGCAGGCGCGTGCATCATCACCGCCACGCCGCCGCCGCCGCCGCC